AGTCTGGAATTTAAAGCTTGTTCCAGCTGGGGCGTTGCCTGCTGACGGGAGATACCTGTTTGGTGGAAAATCTCGGAAGCCAACGTAGGTCTTAAAACTTTTGATATGGTTGCGGGCCGTATTTACATTTCGCAGATCCACCCCTGATTGCTCGGATTGTTGATGTCGGCAGTTTGCCCGGCTGCTCAGAAAGAGGGGGATGGTTCCACACCATGCATAACGCAATGAAACACTTTGGAATGATTGTGAATGCCTAAATTTTTATGACAAAAAATCCTTAAATTAAAACTTATTCTATTTTTACATTACGGGTATGTTGGCCCCGAGTAGGGCGCGTTCGTTAGGCGGAATATTCTTGCCCGACATGGATGCAAGGGACTTTCACTTTTGCGTATTAACATTTCGCGGGCCATAATAAATGGCACCGCGGGCCGCCAGTTGGACAGCCCTGGTCTAATTCAACCACTGTCAGAAGAAGAGTTCTGCTGGTCAGCGTATCTGCTTGGGTTTCTCCGATCACCACCAGGCAATCGCTGGAGCAGTTTCCCAACTAACGGCCCCACCGACCTTGCACGATTTTTACTTTCTCATTCTTGAACCGTCATTTCCCCTTCCAGACTCACACTTACATACCATTTACTACTTCACAAGAAAGTCGGGCACTTACAGTTTGTCCCTTTTGGGGCGGTTCCCTTCTGAGGGAAATGCAGAGAAAGACGAGTACTTGCCGAAAAAAGCACTTATTAAAGAGCGCACCTCTTTTGTTACAACATTTGCATAAATCTTTCCAGTCTGAATGATGTCCATAAACATGTTAATCTATCGGGATCATTTCCAAAAACTTAGTCCGGTGGGAATGAATGTGGCATACCGTATTAAACAGAAATGTACAAAAAAACTTTTTTGAAAAATTAATTTTTGGGTGGAAAGTATTTGAGACATAACTCGAATCAAAATGTCTTGGAGCATCACCCATCTTTCTCAATTCTGAAGATACGTGGAACTAATTAACAATTCTGTAGATATGTTATCAAAATTGATTTGCACATTGTAACATCTCTGATTCTCCGACATCCCTTACGTTTCTCCGGGTAGTACTTCTGAAAACTTGGTGGTGATTTCTCATGTGTTGTAAAGCACAGCATCTCCCTGTGTATTAATCACGGATCATCCATCAAGGAGTCTACCACTGAACTGATACTCGTGTGAGTGCTCTAACCGCTTGAGTTGAAAATAAGTTGAATGTAAGTCACGCTGCCAAACATTCCCAATCTAATGGATCTTCCGTCCGATCCGTCCGGTTTCAATCCAACTCACCACCCCGTTCCCTTGATTCCTTATTACCCTTCGAAGCTCCAAATTCAATGCGTTCAGTAAAGTGGTAGTGATAAACAGCACATAATTTCTCGCATTACGTGAGTTGAGGCATCAAAATGCTTCGTTTTACATTCGCGAGGTGGGAGAGTTCGAGTTTATTGTTGTTGTTGTTGTTGTTGTTGTTGTTGTTGTTGTTGTTATTGTTGTTGTTGTGGTGGTGGTGGTGTTGTTGACAGCTTTTATAAATCCCGACGTCTATGGTGCTGGCAATAGAGAATTATGAAAATGGAAACAATTACGACTGGTATTACAAATTAGAATCTTATTTTCCATATCCCAACCAACTCCCAATCAAGTATTTCAATAAAAAAATATGTCACTGGTTCTGGGAGTTGTCAATATTATTTCCTCAATTTTTTCCGCGTGAATGCAAATGCTCAATTTTTAATGGCTGCTGTTTTGCCCGAAAATCTTCTTGCCGACGGAGAGGCACCAAAATTGAGTTAGTATATTCGGCGCTTACGTGTTAATAACTTGTAATGGCTACACATTATTATAATACTACTTGGAACTGCACAACGGCTGATATGGCTCAAATTAACAACTAATGCCACTGCAGTGTCTCTCACTAGGTGGTTTTAGGGTTTCCGTTTCGATGGTGGAAGAATTTTTATGTAGATCAAATTCAATCTCTTTCTTGTGGAGAATTGTAGCGGTCGGTTGAGCGGTAGTTTTCCGTGATTTCTTCAACCAACACCAGGTGGATAACACACGGGCTATACATCTTCTTCTTTATTCTTTCCTTAGCTCTTACATACACACACACACTACACTGCCATGGACGTCGGAAGACCAATCGGGAGTTAAGAGATTGTCCCTTGTGCGGTGGTACCCCGCTAGAGGCGATACCTGGTTGGGGAAAACCTTGCAAGCCGACGAGTAGGCCGACGATGTCTCTCCATGCCGAGGGGTAAGATCACTGCCACATCCCGTGGTAGAAATGTGCACTTCGCTTTCGGGATTAATGACCATAGCAGCTGACGCGCCCGGAAACACGAAATAATCAATCAATTGAACCTGCAGAACTGTTTATAACCAGAAAAAAATTGTTGTTTTTTCGTTGAGATTCAAACACGAAAGTATTGTAATCGTGCAACGGAATTGGCCATTATTCGATAAAAAAACTCTTACTGCCTGGCCCTAGTGCCAAAAAAGTGGATTCATCTTTTACCTAAATGTAGTAAACTCCATGAATCCATGTTTTGTTGGTCTATGTTAATTGATTGATTTGTGTTTTCACATTCGTCGAATTCTACGACCATTCGTTTCGTAAGTGTAGTGCATGTTTTGTTACGGAATGCGGTGATGATCTTTCCACGCTGGATGGCGAGAATTCGGAGCAGACCTACTCAGTGGCTTGAACTGCTTTCCCAATCAGGTATCTCTCACCAGCGGGGCATCGCGCCACAATATGAAATTTCAGCCACCTAGCTTGGAAAAAATCATTATTTAGTCCTGTTCCTAAACAGCTCTTTATATTTGCACTGTATTGTTCTCTATCCCAACCATGTGGCAACGCAGTTCATTTAATGTCTAGGTTTTTGTAATGGGCGGTGAAGCTCTTGGCGTTTGCACTCTTTCATGACGCGTTCCCAGTGTAAAGTGTAAAAATTTTCCTTTACTGTGACACTTTCATTTTAAATGTTCTCAATGCAGAACACATAACTAAACGTATTTGAACAAAATGTGGTAACACTTTCATGAAATTCTTTGAATTTTTGTCTTGAAATATAAAAAAGTTATACCAAGTTACACGGAGAAACGTGTACAAGTACATTGCTACAAGTTGTTCCAACTCCAAGAATATAATATTTTTGGAAACAATTCAGACTATCAAAAGAAGAGATTTATTTGCTGTGAGGCGTACTGCTGCTTGCACGGTACGAAATAAGGAATTGTATCCTTTTGTTATTACACAACTTGGGTTACAAGACTTCTCCGATGCCTACCTAGAATTATTATAGCTACTCTGGATGCTATTTGCCCTTATATTATGAAAATTGATGAAATTTGCGATTTAATTCATTAACGTACAAATTAATTTTGCGCCCTTGCCCATTTATCGTGTTCGTAAATGCAGTCATTGTTGGGGCTCTCTGGCTGCATGTTCTTACAAGTTTTAATGCTTATCTGTCTTTTAAGTTACTAAAGTATACTACTAGAGCTACGTTTAACCCAAAATGCATGAGACAACATAAAGTCATCAAATTTTTGTCCGGTTAAAGCACTAAGGAGGTAAATGAATAAATCTGACAACTCAAGGTAGATTAATTTCTTTTACATAAAAAATGCGAAACTGTATGCAATTTGATGGGGAGAAGAGTTACATTTTCTACTAGGAAAAAATGCAGTGCATTTCTCATCGTGTGCTGAATAGATCAAGAAAATAAAAATAGCTACAGAGATATAGATTGAGAATGTTGCTTATTTTTAGAAAAAGAGAAAAAATAAAATAGTATAATAAACTACAGTAAAATCAACTTGAAATGGTAATTTTCACTTCATTGTGTGTTTCAAATGAAGCTGAATAACATGTCAACACTTAAAATTGAGAAACTTGAGTTGAAGCTCGAACATTTCGAGAGTAATTAAGCTATTTTTTTTGCAAAATATGCCAGAATTTATGAAAGTTAAATTGTTTTTAATGTACACATGGTCTGCTAACTCGGTGTGGTGTCATAATGTATCATGACTTACCTGGAGGACAAAGAGTCCGCAAGCCGAAGCGTATGTCCACTCCGGATCCCTCGTCTGCAGAAAAATCGTCAATGGCCAGTTTTGCACATGTCATGGAAAATGAAATGAATCACAACCACTTCAGGCCAAAACACTTGGGCCGTGTCTCAGAAGGAAAGGAAATGCGAGGTCAAAGAAAATACTCGAATAGGGAGTGGTCACTCTTTAATATGCTTTCGAGTGTTACAGGTTTCAGACGCATGCGCAACTGTGGAGGATCAGACCGCGTGGGACAGCATGCCTACCTTCTACATCACTGTTCAAATGCACTGCTTCAGACCGATTTCCAACTCATAATTCAAATTTCCATTTTTTCCGAGTTTTAGGCACCCTGGGCAAGGTCGCAATCGTGATATTTCATTGTAAAAATATTCTTGTTCCTAAAATAAAGTCGCCTGGCCTCTTAAATACTGGAAGTCTTTTAGAAGTAATTTCTACCAGAGCGCCAGAAATATCTGTTAATTAATGCCGCCGCGTTTCTTTCCCAGTTAGTTAAGCGACTATTTCTTTGATGAAATGGCGCCTATCCGTTCCGCCTGTTTTTCGAGCCATTAATAAGAGGCATTGCGCGGCCGCGGAGCAGGAATTCCGCGGCGCGGGCAGGCGAACCCGTTGCGCGGCGGCCGCCCGAGCAGTGCGTCTTGCCCAGCCCCCGCCCCCGCCCCCGCCCCCGCGCGTTCCACGGCGCACCGAGGGACCACCCACACCCGACCTCCCGAGATGCAACAATAAATATGGGATTAAATTACGAGGCGCGGCATCCGCGGCCCTCCCACTTCCATGTGCACGCAACACGGCTCTCGACAACACCCAACAGAAAACAGACTCATTTCGAGCGACAGAGAATTTTTCAGGACCAAATAGGCAATGATCCGGCAGTTTTTCAGCGTTGCTGGTATTCTAACGACAGGAGGTCCTACTTTGGAGGCGGATTTCAACCTTTCTGAATTCCGTGAATTTATTGATACAAGTTCGTCTAGATTTGAAAGGCTCGCGAGTAAATGATGGTAATTCTCAGAGTTATAGTTTCCGTGATATAGAAATTATCGTACGCTTTCATCTGCTGACCATGATCAAGGGCGGATCTGGGGGGGGGAGGCGGGCAATCACCCCCCCTTGAAATAATTTTTTGTTAAAAAATAATGTTATAATGGTTACTTTGGTTATTTAAATAAATAGAAGGTTCCTTGAACAATAGTATGTTTTACTATAACATTATTTATTATTGATTTTTTGAATAACTTAAAAAGCTATTCGCCCCCTCCCGCCCAGAAAAATGTTCAAGATCCGCTCTTGTCTGTGATTCTAAAATTATCCAATTATGACGCATAGTTTACCCCGGCTATTGCCATCTTCATGTACCCCATTTAAATCCCTTCCTGCCAAAATGTTCCCTCGCTAGTATCTCGTAAACGTTTCCACGTGTTATAACGTTTTACACCCGAACCTTTCATTTACTTCCCATCCTAATTTTTGTCCAGTTCCATAAAAAAGTCGCTCGTTGTTTGCGTGGCGCCGTGCAGCAATGGCGCGTGCGTGGGCGTGGCCGCGGCCGCGTGGCGGGCTGCGTCAGGCGCAGGCGCAGCGCTCCACCACGAGCAGCCGCCGGCGCTCGCCGTCGCGCGCTGTGTAGCGCCGCGTGGAGGTGCGCGCGGGGGCGCAGGACGGGCGCGCGCGCGCGTGGCGCCGCTCCACCAGCCACGAGCGGCAGGGCGCCGGCGCGCGCCAGAAGGGGTCGGCGCAGCGCCGCGCCCCCGCGCCCTCGCCCGCCTCGCACGCGCCCTCGCACGCGCCCACGTCCACCTCCTGCAACAACACGCCGCCGGCCTCGCGTCACAAAACAAACGCGCACCCTCACACACTTAATGCAAATGTACATTCAAGCAATTAGCATGCACTTCCGCGCATGCCGGGACAGCAGTCGGGGGTTTAGAGCTTGCCCGGCTGGGACGGTGCCTCACTCGTGGGACATTCCCGGTACGGGAAAACCGACAGTAGGTCGGCGCCGGATCTCGCCATACAGCCGGGGAAGATCATGGTCACCTCCCGAGAAAAAACCATGCACTACGCGTACTAATGATCTTCGCAATTGACGCGCGCGGTATCACTAGTCAATCAGTGAACGCACATCAAATGTACGTTAGGATGTATATGAAATGTCCATGTGTACATCAAATGTACATATGGACATTAGTATGCAAGTCTCATATCTGGAATGAATGATCTTGATAAAGTGGTGATTACGATCATTTGATATGAATCGGGAATCTCTGCATTAAATTTACGCTGATTTTAATTTATGTAATAAATTTAATGCATAAAAATATATTAAGGTCTTTTTAATGTATATGGCTCATTACGTTTCACGTATTTAATTTACATTAAATTTAATGACATTTCTGACAGTGTAATATTTCTTTATATAATTTTTTATAAAAACATGATAGTATTACGAAAATTTTCAACGACACACGCCCGATAACACACAGACTCACTTGCTTATAAACCTCGGCTATCGTCTAATTGCAAACTTCAACTACGCTCATTATTTGCTCTGTATCGTGCGATTGGACATTCGTGTTCCGTTAGACAGGGGGTACACAGATAAATTACTACATTGTTTCTGTTAAATTTTCTACCCCCATAATTTTTTTTTAATATTCTCCGGCAATAATCATTAACGTTCAGAAACAATTATTAACTTTTCGACAAGATTTTTTTCTACCTCTCTAGCTCATTGTTTTACAATTGTTTGTCAGTAAAAGGCGTCAAAATAAAAGCCGTAGAGCATTAAATTTCCTTTGCATTGATTTGCATTTACTAATTTACAATCAACTGAGGCAGAGTTATAGCAATTTGAAGTTGTCAAGTTAATGCACCCATTTTGAAAGACAATTCCACCCAGAATTTCCTCTTCTTTTGATATTTTATACAAATTCTTTATATTTAAATCACTAAAGATTTTCGTTTAGAAAGAAATTTTGATCTTTCTGCTCAATGAATTTTCAAGATTATTGCTTTAAATTAAAGGTAGACAGTCCAATATCTGTTGGTGTTATTAACCTTTTTTTAGTATAAATAGCGAATTTACTATAATTAAAAGACAAGAACACTAATCTGCCGTCATTTGTCATTACGTCGTTTTCAATACCAACTACATAGTGTAATTGGAGTGTAGTTGATCGTGTGTTATATATACTCATACATTCTCTTAATTCAACAGTGTAATGTTAAATGGCACGTATGTGATAGTTTATCAAAAGAAAGCTTTTATCCAGCACATTCATTTCATTTCTACATAATAAATTGAACATGTAATCTTTGCCATTGTTAGTTTGTAATATATTGTCTTTTAGATCACAAAAGTTTTACTCTGTAAATATTAGTTGGACAAAACCCATAGGAAACAAATTCTCTCTTGTAGTGTACAGAATATTACAATTTTAATTGAATAAATTCATATTCAAAAGCAGTTTTTTCAAGATGTCAAAAGTTACATATTTAGTCATCACATCTATTTCCAATTCTATAAATTTGAAGAAAACATAATATTACTTTCTTTGCATTTATTCATCACTTACGAAATTCAATTTTCTTCCTATGTGTTTGTTTTTTGATGTAACTTTAAAATTATTTGATAAATAACTAATCATTGATTTTCTATCAATATTATTTTTTTCAGGATGAGATATCACGTCAAATAAGTTTAATTCTTTGCCCAAATTTGTCAGCCATTTTCTTACAGAAATTACATTGCACTTACTTAATAATTTCTATTCCTTTGAAAACAGTTATGATTTTGCTTTTTAATTTTACCGGAAATTTTACTTTAAATCACGAACGATTTTTAATCTTTGTTCATTCATCAACTTGCATATGAGCTTATGAGTAGTTTTTGAGGTTCTTTGCTAATGTTTGGTTTTATGTTTCTTGATCCTTATAAATATCTCAGAACTCGTTTTAAAATAATATGAATTTCTCTAGGATCATTCATATATTGAGCCAAACCAGGTTCCTGTTACAAGAAAACCTAGACATTCCAATATTTTTTGATGGAATTTAATAATCATCAAACCTAAAGGCTGTCTGTTTAAGATAGATAACAAAGTTATACAATAAGTTCCATATGTTATTTATAGACAATCAAAGTTTATTGCTATTTATTCTACAAAGTGTTCCCAACATAATTTGACTTATTTGACATAAAGTGTTCCCAATGTAATTGGACAAACTCGCAGAAACCTTATAGATAAGGTTAAGGAATATCGGAACAATATTAAGTTACCTTATGAAAGACAAAATTCTGTAACCAACCATTGAATCAGTAGTGGTCTTTGTATATTTTCAAAATTAACAGATTTGGTTCGTTTAACGTAACTTTCATGCGAGGTTGATTCTTCAATCTCTCTTTATTAAAATAAATCCAACTATTAAAGCTAATTTGGAATGCAATAGTCTTTGTAAATGTTATGATCCTTTAATAGTACTTTTTAAGAGATACAATGAACAATCTGATTATAATGGATTCACTTTCCTACTAGATAGAATGTACAACAGTTTTCATAGAACCAAAATCAACGAAATCAGATTCACATTCATGATCGCAATAATTTTTTTATGTTCTCTCCAACTAACATACACTTGATTCACATGGAATTTATGATGTACCTACTATCTGATCTTCGAATTTCAGAACTGAGAATCAATGTCCATAGTATCTTAGGAGTCGAGCTCGTCAACTGTCCAGGATTGCCCTACCTTTCTCCTTACTCAAACATCTAACCTTTCCCTTTCTCTTATAAAACGGACTCCAAAGCATTTGTGTCCGTACGATCTGCGCAGCAGAAATCAACCTGCTGTTCATAACAGGTACAATGTATCAGACCTTGCACATTCCACAACAGTTTTCTTATGTGCGTGAGTTTTTATTTAATTTGACCTACACTAGCTAACACGTCATTGCCGAAAGTCGTGTCACTTCCCGGTCAGAATGATTTATTGTTATTGATTTTGAGCAATTCAACTTCTAAGGTTATTATTCCCGTAAGTGTTTTCATGTTTTCCTTTCGGGTAATGGCGCTGATCTTACCCGCTAGATGGCGAGATCCGGCACCGACTTAATGTCGGCTCGCGGGTTTGCCCTCCCATGTATCTCCCATCAGCGGGCACCGCCCCAGCCGGGACAAGCGTTAAGCTCCCGACCGGTCTCCCGGCATGTGTGGCAGTGTAGTGCATGTTAGTGTAAGTGTGTGTAAGTAAGGGATGGTGTCAATGAAGAGGAAGGAAAGATCGCGCGTAGCTCGTTTGTTAGGGTAGGGCGCCCGCATTCACCTGGTGTTGATGAGAGAAACTACGGAAAACTACCGATCAGAGCAGCCGTCCGCTAGAATTCTCGTCCGGCCGGCCGGAGAATCGACCTACTAGTGTCGACAGCTCTGCCATTGGGGACTCGAAGCTAACCTAAGATCTCCCGGCCAGAGGCCCGGCCTGCGCGCCCGAGTGGGGTGGTGAGGTGTGGTGTGCTTCGTACCTTGAGCACCGGGTGCGCGAGCAGCGCGCCTCCCTCGCCCTCGAAGTCGCCGACGACGCGCAGGCGGCGCACTCGGAAGCAGGCGTCCGCGCACGCGCAGCGCTCCACCACCTGCAGGCAGCGCGCGCCGTCGGGGCCCTCCACGGCCACGGAGCGCCGCTGCACCGCGCGGCAGCCCTGCCCGCCGCCGCCGCCACCTCCTGCGCAGCCACACACAACGCCTGCATTAGGACTCCAAGTCATACAGCTAGGACCTCGGAATTAGATTATCTCACCAAAACCCTTGGTACTTAAAATACACCTGCTTTCCAAACCCCCAATTATAATATTCCACGTGACGTTTTCATAGCATATTCAAAACATCGTTGTCATCCTCAGCTAATATAACTTATTCCTCTGCCTAACTAAGAAAATAGGGTATGGATTCGTAAATTGAATAC